GGATTATAATCAATGTAATGAAACAAGTCATATGAATGGTTGAATGTGAAACTGATGATGTGCCCTGCAAACTTTCACTCAATCCACAATAAAAACCTTAAAAAAAGTTTAAAGTAGAATTTTCTATTATTATAACATGATTATTTTCTGTTTATTAAGTTGTCACCTTTTATTTATGATACAAGATCTTAATAGCTGTCTATTAAATGATGTATTGCCTTAAATTTTTTATAAGAAAATCAATAGCTTAAGTTTAGTTCTAAAATTAAAATTATGCTTTTTTTTAAGGCAAAATACACAATCCCTGAGCCTCCTGCTTAGTTGAGCATCTGTTAGACAACTTGCAGCTACATGATATATTTCTTTAGTATCTTCTGCATATTTTATAAATTTCATGTAAACAGCAGTACAGTTTTTCTAGATATGTTGAAAATAAAGTATTGTTGTGGTATGAATTTCCTCTAAATAGTTGTCTTGTTTTTCAACTAGAAATAAGCAGTTATATGACATGATGCAGAAAGAGATCCGTATCCCTATAACAAAAATCCGGTATGTATATATTGTTATATGCTTTCTTCCCTGGGTAGTTTAAATAGTTCATGCATTTGGAAGCAAACTGAAGCATTGGTGTTTTGAGTCCATACAGAGGGGCACCAGAAGAAAGTCCTGGTGACCTTCTGAGAAATTAGCTGTGAAAATCCTGCAGAGCACAGTCCTATTCTGACGCACATAGAGTAGCCATGAGTTACAATCAACTCCAAGGGAAATTGTTATACTTTGTTTCAACAAACTGAATTGAAAGTTAGACTTTAAATTTCTGAGACCTAAATACTTACGTATTTTTATACACTGACGAGCTAATTCTTTTTAAGGTTTATTCTAAAAACCATTAGAGGAACCCTGATTTAGGGGAGTAAATACTATCCTTCAGTGAAGATAGAAAAACAGAGTTTGGAGTCATAGTATACCTTTAAACCCAAACCGTCCCTTTAGTTTCTCTGAGTTGAGGCTCGGCTTCCTTGTTGGTGAGGTGAGCGAGTTAACACAGATAACTTGATACAGGACAAGGACCTGTGAGGCATTCATTAGGTGTTCACTCACCTCACCAACAAGGAAGCCGAGCCCCAGCTCAGAGAAAGTTAAGAGATGATTTGGTTTTAAAGGAATACCATAACTCCAAACTCTTCTTTCTTTCCTTTACTGAAGGATGGTATTTCACTGTTACAGTTATTCATGATTTCATGCTCCTTTGCAGCAAAATTCTTGGTCATGGGAACTTGAAGAAGAAAGGGAAGCTAATTTCCAGTTTATGGAGAACACAGCACTTTGTATGGAATTGGGAAGACTCTTGGCACTCAGATGTACTTCATATAGATCTTTAAAATTGTTTTTTCAAAATGTGTTGCTATCCTGTGGGCATGAAAGCATCAACTTTCTGACTGCTGAGATGTCCAGATGGATTTTCTTTCATATCAGCTTACTTTATTATATTTGGCCTATTTTGAGGTTGATGCAGAACAAACAGCACAGGTGGGAAAATTGTTGGAAGGAATATGGGGAAATGTTTAAGATTGCCCAATAAGGACTTCTGTCTTCAGGTCAATGCTAAGACATAGAATTTTAAAATTACAGAGTTAAGCTTACAAAATAAAATCAAGGATTTAAGAAAACTATGTGGCACACTTAGAAAGAATGAATGATGCTATTCTGCTGTTGTTGCTGTGGCCATAGTCCATGTCTTGCTCCCCACAGGGCAGATGGAGGTGTCTGCAAAAACAACTTTGTCATGCAGATGACATCAGACCTGATTAACCAGAAGATAGACAGACCAGCACACATTGACATGTCCTGCCAAGGTGCTGCTTCTCTGGCTGGCCTTGCTATTGGTATGTGTGGATCTTCCAAACAAGAACTTTCTTGTAAACTATTTCTTGAAGATTTCATTTCTCTACCCAAATTCCAGAACTTTAGAGAGGATCTGGAATTCATTGGTGCCCCTCAATCTACAACAAATAGTTGTTGTTCTTGTTGGTTGTTGTCATCTGTTGAGCATCTGTTAGACAACTTGCAGCTACAGCAACCTCATATGCAATAGAATGAAACCTTGCTCATCACTGGTCCATCTTCAGGACTGTTGGGACACTCAGGTCTGTCCTTGAAGCCACTGTGTGTTTTGAGTACCTTCCAACCCAGGGGCTCATCTTCCGCCACATTATCGGGCATTATTCTGTTGGATCCACAGGGTTTTCATTGACTGATTTTCAGAAATACATTGCCAGGCTTTCTCCCTAGTCTGACTTAGTCTGGAACTTCCACTGAAACCTGTCCACATGTGCATATGACTCACAAAAACATCTATGACTTCCTGCTAGGGATTTGGTGATCCCTCATCCACCCTCACTTCACTTCTTCAATCAGAGAAAACCTGAGACAAGAGAAATTAATTCTCAGCTGCTTTGGTCTCTGACAAAGAAAGGTACCTACTTAAGCTTTCTGGGTAGATTTTCTCTTTGTCAACAGAAGCCATTCCATTCTTTCATTTATTAAACATTTTTCAGCACCTTTTACATGATACTTACTGCTGTGAAGAGGTTAAAAGACCCAGTCCTTACCTTCTGATGGCAGCAGACAGGCAAATTATTAAATGTGTTAAAATAAGCCCAGTAATAGTAGTAAACATGTGGTGTGGGCCCTCAGAGGAAGTGGTATAACTCAGTCATGAAGGGTTCTAGACAGCCCAGTGAGTAAAGCTGAAGTTCTATGTGAGCCAGTAAAGAAAAAAAGTTGCTCATGAGAAGGTACTGACTGGTTCATTAAAGGAAGTGCTGTGTATGGTGAGGGCCAATGGGAGGCTGGAGGGATACACAGATGTCCAGCTGCAGTGGACTCCCTATACAAAGGGGTATGGACTTGATCCAAAGGCCATTTGAGAGCCATTGAAGAATTGTAAGCAGGGGAGTAACAAGGAGAGATGTTCATAGAACAGGTCACTTTTGGCAATTAGTGGAAGGATTAGTAGGGAGAGGTACAGAATGGAGGTGGGAGGTCAATTAGGATGCTCCCTAGGAAACAGGATAATGCCTTGGGAACACTGGGAATATTTTAATATGTTCCTTTATGGAAGGGGGTAATATTTTATGCCACCCCAAAATACAGATAAAGAATATTTTATAGTTAAAAGTTTCAATCTATTAATAGATTATACTAAAGTTTCAAATCCAAAAAGCATGAAACCAGGATAAGTTCAACTTAAACTTGATTCTATTAAAATTTTGGTAATTATGAATAATATTAGAGTAATCACTTTTATTGTTCATTGCCTAATGCTTGATTAATTCAAATTGAAAAAATAAATTTCCACTAGGTAATCAGTCCCATTTGCATGTGTAATTAAATTTCTTTGCATATTTCCATCTACTTCTATAAAGTTAATATATATCATCTTCTTTTAATTAGAGTAAATCAAGTTTGCATAGGCACTCTACTATTGTTTATACAGTTAATCAAATTTTTCTGTACTTATCTTCTCAGAAAAGCTGAGGTATCTGTTTGGATTGCTTCTCTTTTCAGAAATTTGAGCTATAAAGTCTATACACACACTCTGTGTTTTGGAAATTCACCCCAAAATGAAAGGGAACATCAAGGCTAATTGCCATCCACTCATTTCTGACTCATAGCAACCCGATGCCCAGCAATGCAAAGCACAGCCCGGGCCTACACCATCCTCACATTGCTGCTGCCATGGTGTCACTCCATCTGGTTAGGCTCTTCCTTTTTCTTTCTGACCCTCCACTTTACCAATTCTCTAGGAATTGGTCCACCACCCTTAATCCCACCTAACCCTGTGGGGTGTGACCTGTAAGAGATCAAAGGAGAGAGACGCGAGCAGGGAAGGAGGGACCAGTACCACCAAGAAAGAAGAGCCAGGAGTGGAGTACTTCCTTTGGGCCTGGGGTCTCTGCACTGTGAAGCTCCTAGATCCAGAGAAAGGCTGTTTCTAATACATAGAGATCTCCCTGATGCTGAAAGGAGATAAAGCCCTTCCCTCAGAGCCAACAGAGAGAAACCCTCCCCTGGGCCAGCACTCTGAAATTGAACTCGTCTCCTAATCTGTGAGAGAATAAGTTTTTGTTTGTTAAAACTGTCCACTTTTGGCACTAGATAACATAATGCAAGATTGCAGAATGCAAGGGGTTTTTAAAAAGTCCCCTATGGAAAAATGGAATTAAAAGATAATGGAATTTTTCCACAAACTTAAAATTCCCCTCATATAGTACACAAAGACAACATTCTACACCCTACTTTTGTGAATAGCAGCTGGGGTCTGAAAAGCTTGAGAGCAGCCATTTAAAGTGCAGCTGTTGGTGTCTCCCTGCAGGGAACAAAGGAGAAGGAAGAAAATCAAAGATACATAGAAGCAATTAGTCCAGAGAACTAACAGACAACTTGAACTTCAGCCTGTATGTATATCCTGAGAGCAGAAGAGCTAGCTGGTACCTGGCTACCACTGCTGACCACACAGAGAAAGATCACCATAGGGGGTTCTAGATAGGAAGAAAAATAAAGAACTAAACTCAGAATCATAGCAAGACTAGTCTTACTGATCTGAGGAAGACTGGCGGCATCTTCAAGGCTCTGGCCCTTAGTCATTCTTCAGGCCTGGAACTGAACTCATCAACTCAACTTTCAGCCAAACAATAGACATGCCTTTAGGGTGAACAGTTAGACTGCTAACTGACTGGTCAATAGTTTGAACCCACCTGAGACTCCAAAGGAGAACAATGAGGCAGCCTGCTTCCAAGCTCAAAAACTACATGGGGACATTTCGCCTTGGTCCTGTAGGATCACTGTTAGTTAGAATCAGTCAACTAGGTCAGTGGGTTTGGTATAGGGTGAGCAACAATACTGGGGAAGTACACAGTCCTTAGAACAATCAATCATATACAAAATCAAACCGGTCTATTTTCCCCGGGGATAGAGCTCATAAGACAGGAAGGAAAGGATGATGAATGTCAATGGGGAAATGAGGGGGTGGGAAGAATGTTGTTACCTTGTACAGACTGCAGTCAGTGTCATGAAGCTAAATGTGTAGGAATTGTTCAATGGAAAATCAGTTTGCTCCGTGAACTTTCAGATCATAGTAAAATTGAAAATAAGTAAAACATTTTAGATAAAATAAATGTACCTTATAAATTCAGGATGTAAGAATTTTAAGAACATAATTGTTTTCTTAACTAGCCTTATCAAACTGTAAGCACTGATGAAAACAATTTCTAGTTTTAGTCTTGTTTTTTGTTTTTTAATTTTATTTTGAATCGGGTAAAGGCTTACAGAGCAAATCAGTTGTCTGTTCATCAATTCGTAAACATTTTGTTTCATGTCATTGATTGTAATCCCCACACTTTCTCCCTGTGTTTCCTTTCCTCCTTTCCTACCCTTCCTGCCTTCTGAACTTTGTCCTTGGACAAATGCTTCCATTTTGATTTTGAATTGTTGGTTTTTCTAAGACGGTCTTACCTCCCTGGTATGATTGTTCAAGGAGCTCTGGCAGCGTAGTGGTTATGAGTCAGGCTGCTAACCTCAAGGTCAGCAGTTTGAAATTACTGGAGGTTCCACAGGAGAAAGATGAAACTTTCTGTTCCCAAAAAGACCCAGTACAAGTTCTCTATGAGTCGGAACTGACTCCACGGCACATCACCACCACCAGTATGACTGTTCAAGACCTGTCCACTCTTTGGATAAAAATTGAACCACAGGGCTGAGTTCAGTTCTAGGCCCCAAAACGTGACTAAGGACTGGAGTATCCAGGGTTCAACTAGTCTCTGTCTGACCAATAAGCCTAGTTTTTATTTTAAATGGATTTCAATTTTGTTCCCCATCTTACTCCCACTCTATCCAGAACCTTCTAAATTGATCCCTTTCAGAGTGGTCAGTAGTTCTGGTCTCAGAGGCTGAGGTTCTTATGGTCCAGTAGTCCTTTGGACTAATTGTTTCCATGATTTTTTTTTTTTTTTGCTTCACTCTTCTTTGCTCCAGATGGGGAGAGACCAGTAGTTGCACCTTAGAGGGCCATTCACAAACTTTTAAGACCCTAGTTGCTACTCACCAAAGTAAGATCCAAAACATTTGTGTGTGTGTATGTGAACTATGCTATGCCAATTGACCTTGCTATCCCTTGAGATTATGTTCCTGAGCCCGCAGAACTAGCGTTTTTAGTCTTTAAAAACAAAACTCTATAAGTTATTGCCTTTAAACATAGATACTCTAAAATGCTTACTTTGTAAATAGGAAAAAAGTAACTTGACAAAAAGTTTTAGAAAAAATTTTTATTAGTTTTTTTATTGACTAGTGAGAAGAGTGCAGGCAGACTGTTTTAGAACATCTGCACAGGTGAGATGAAAGGAGACTTTCAGGTAGCAAGACACCTACATCATTTCAGACTTGGAAATCATAAATAAATGTCTTCTTGTGCTACTTTTTATTATAAATTACATGGTTTCTTCGTAAGGAATGGTTTGGTAGAAGTAAATATTATTTTGAATTAGAACTTAAATGTGGTTATGTTGTTAGGTGCTGTCAAGTTGATGTCAACTCATAGAGACTTAAGGTGATAAAGTGGGGCTTTCCGAGGGTCTTCTGGGCTGAAATCTTTACAAGTTGCCAGACCTTTAATGTTTTATTGTGAGTTGAGTGAAGGTACACAGAGTGGATCATCAGCTTTACATTCAACAAATCATATACTTTGTTTCATTTCAATGATTACAGTCCCCTCCATGCAGTGTCACTTGATAGTTTCTTCTCATTCTCTCATCCTGGCTTTTGTCCTTAGGTAAGTGCTGCACTTTTGATCTTGAATTGCCGACCATTCAATGTTGTGGGTACTTTACTAGTCTTGTTGTCCCCCCGCCATATACTTGCCTGAGAAATTGAGCCACTGGGGTGAGTTCAGATCCAGACCTGAAGGATGATCAAGAACTATATAGTCTTGGGGTCCACACATCTATCTGACAAGTAAACCTGGTCTTTTTTATGATTTTGTGTTTTGTCCCACAGCTTCTTGAGTCTGTCCAAGACTTTTTAAAGTGATCCATTTCAGAACAGATGGTAGTAGTAGCTGGGTACCGTCTAGTCCTGGTCGTGGAAACTGATGTTCACAGGATCCATTAGTTCATTGGGCTAATTGTTTCCATTCACCTTCAATTTTCATCACTTGTCTTTTCTCTAGGGAGAAACCAATAGTTGCACCTTAGATGGCTGTTCATGAGCTTTTCAATTTCTAGTCAATACTCACCAAAGTAAGAAACCAAAGTATTTTATAATCCTACTTTATTGCCATTTTACAAAAATCAAAAGCAACAAAGTATTTTGGATTATGCTTTCAGTTAGTAATTGTTTACCTTTGTGCCAATCTGCAGCATTGTGGGTAAACTAGGTAGACTCATTATTTGCCCAAAATTAGAGAATAACTTCCTTTTTTAAATCTCTAGGGTTTTGGACTGACAAGGAGGAATTAAAGAAGCTGAGGCAAAGTGAAATGGTTTTCAAGCCACAGAAGAAATGGCAAGAGTATGAAATGAGTATGGAAAATTGGGTGAAAGCAGTGAAGCGTTCCATGAACTGGTATACCAAGACATGGCACTGAAGGACCTACAGATGGTGTGCTCACAGGACGCGCAGCTGAGACAGTGCTTGGGTGTAACCAGCACTGCAGTGACCAAGCAGTTTCAAAAACAAAAAGGGAAAGCATTGCTTTTTATAAATGCAGATAAACAAACAAAAATAGCTTCTTTTAAAAATCCAAATCCTCAGTTAAGACTGATATAACATCAGTACCTCAAAACTTTTTTGTCTTCTGTTTTGTAGCAAATTCCAAAGGACATCAACTGTTTCCAACCGTATTGGAGCAGTTTTGCATCCTCCTCCTTTTTTATACTTAGGTCCATGGTGCCTGTGAACACAGTTGTTCAGTATATGAGCAGACAATTCTGGATCAAGCACCAGCTATGTTTTATTCCAAAATTAAGGGAAAAATATTTCCTTTAATTCTCTAGAATTAAATGAGCTATTGGAAGTGCGTATAACTAACAACAAAGAATAACCAAGGGAACGTGTAATTCTGAAACTTTACTGTTTTAGGTTTAAAGCCTTTATTGTTCATGATTCAAATATGAGCTCAACATCTCCCCCTCAGCTAAGCTTGTTAGTCACTGCTTGCTTTATTGAGCTTAAAGACACTGCTTCAAGTTTTCTTTCTTATTGTGAAGTGCCATCGAGTCAGTTCCGACTCATTGTGACACTGTACAGGGTTTCTTAGGAGCAGCTGGTGGGTCTGAACTACCGACCATGTGATTCCAAGTCTAGTGCTGATCCTACAGTGCCACACCAGGAGTCCATTTAGTTTTCTTTGTTCAACTAAACTCTAAGCCTTCTTGATGTGTTGAAAACACTAAACAAATACTTTCAATCAATAAGAAAAGTATTTTCTTTGTAACTTTTTATTGTGAATTGAATGAATGTTTACAGAGCAAATTGGTTTTCTGTTCAACAATTCGTGCATTTTGCTTTGTGACATTGATTCCAGTCCCCTGAATGCAGCAGTACGCTTTCCATTTCCTTCCTGTGTTTGCCATTTTTATTTGTCCTTCTTCCTGATCCATTCCTGCCTATGAGATTTGTTGTTGTTGCTGAGTGCCTTCGAGTTGTTTTGACTCATAGTGACCTTGTATAGGGTGTCTAAGGATCAGCTGGTGGGTTTGAACTGCTGACCTTGTGGTTTGCAATCCTGTGCTGATCCACAGTACCCACCTCATCAGAGCTTTATCCCTGGTGTGGTTGATTTCCTCCCCAGAGTTACTGTTCACCCTATTGTGTGAATGAAAACAGCCTTTGAGGCAGGCAGGTTGTTGATTTTTAAGGAACGAGTATGCCATTTATTTACTTCTCAAATAGTATTTCTTTCAAAAACGTCTGATTCAAGTATAACTATAATTTTCTTTTACAAAATGGTAATTAAAATAAATTTTGTCTTCTATTATTTTATTAGTTGGTGAAATACTTGTATAAACACCTTTTATTTTGATTAAGGGGTCTGATTGACAGAGTTAAAAAGTCCTGTGGGATAAACACTGGACTGCTAACCACAAGTTTGATGTTTCAAACCCACCAGCCACTCCTTAGAAACCCTGTAAAAGGTTGCTATGAGTCAGAACCGACTCAACAACACTTAACAACAACAGCAATTTGAAGAGCTCTGGTAGCATAGTGGTTATGAGTTGGGCTGCCAACCTCAAGGTCAGCAGTTCAAAACTACCAGCAGTTCCGCGGGAGAAAGATGAGGCTTCCTCTTCCCATAAAGATTTTTAACCTTGGAAACCCTGTGCAGGGTCGCTATGAGTGGCAGTTGATTTCACAGTACTTAACAACAACAACAACCCTAATTTATTGGCGTCTTCAGATTTGTCTTCACTGAGTATTTTACTTGTTCTTGTATCTTTTAGATGTTAGTCCAGTTTATTCCCCTCTTGAAAATATGTGCAGTGGGTAGTTGGCACATAGTTTTGGTGACAGGAGTGTATTCATGCTAAGGATGCCTTCTGGCCATCAAGGCATAGATCTACAGAGGGGAGCCTGCATGGTTCCATTCTCCACCTTTCTTGATAGTAAGAATGTGAAGTTGACCACCTTCCAACCAATTCTCCTGGTATTGCCCCTCTATACATTTAGGGTAGGTAGGTTCCATTTGGATTTGCTGTAATAACATTTATTTCCCTCTTGGTCAGGAATAATCGCATTTAGCCCTGTAATAGAATTAACTGTTAAATTACAGTGCAGCTAAAGGAGTGATTGTTACAGCAGATTTTGTTGTTGCCATTATGTATGGGCATTTCAGAAATGGCTTGCATTAGATGGTAAATTACATTTCTGAAAATTCCATTTCCATGAGTTTCAAGTGTCTTCTTAAACTATTAATATTTTTGATGGAGCCATTTACCAAATACATAATTGAAACTTGGAAGTGTGTTTGCTAAGTAGAAGCACTTCTGTTTGTTTACTTACTATATCAGATCCTTTCATGGATCTTTAGTCTTTCTCTTTTTGCAGTATTTTTGCAAAGCTGAATTAGTAGCCAATTAAGGGCTTTTGTAAAAGAATTCTGTGAAAGGTGCTCTGTTACTATTCCCTATAGACTCTGCATCTCAGTAGATACGATTTCACAAGACATAATTGTTCTGCGAGGTTTTTTTGTTGTTTGGTTGGTATGAAATGAATTATAATGTTATTAATGTCTAAAAGTTTGTTAATTCACTTCTTTTTTCTGCATTCTTTTTTCTCAGTAAAAGACCACAAATTAAGGATAAATCTAAACACTTTTAGATCTGGGGAAATAACGTTGTATAAATATCTCATTGGAATTACGCATCTTCTAAAAATGCAGTAGCTAATTGTTTTCCTGTATAAATGTAGAAGATAATCTTTTAATATTCCTGGCTGTTTTAGTGATAGAGTTCAGTAAATCTTTCATCTGATTTTGGCCAGAATCAGAAACATGACCACATTTACTTTTGTGGACACAGAAGCAGTTGATAATCAAAATCAGTTGAGCAATAGCAATGGTCCTTTCCATCTTTCATGTTTATTTATTTGTATACTAATATTTTTAAGTTCCTTTTTTTTTCCCCCTGTATTAAGATTTCTCAGCATGCCTTATTTTTCCAATGTGGAGCCATCAGATATTTTTAGGAGTGCCCCAGCTATCTCATCAAAGGGGAAAGTGTTCCTTTACAATTAATCTTAAAATGGTACTAATTGCTTTTATACTGTGTATTTACTAGTTTTTAAATCCTTTCTATCTAATTATGACAGGGTTTCTCAATTATTAATGTTTTGGACCAAATAATTTGTTGTTAGAGGACTGTGCTGTGTTTTGTAGGAAGTTCAGCAACACCCCTGACCGCTACCATTTGCTGCATCCCTCCAGTTGTGACGACCAAAAGTGTCTCCACACACTGCCAAATGCCACCCTGGGAGGCAGAACAGCTCTCAGTTAAGAAACACTTATATTAGAAGATGTTGGAAGAAAACTAAGGAATCTGTGCTTATGGGAAGTCTACAATGTCTCTTTTCTTTCTGTTGCATTTTATCTTAAGAAACTCTTGTTTCCTGAGATAAAGTCCTGTCTTAAGTAGTTTCTATATTTCAGTCTAATGGGGCAAAAAATCTCGTGCTATAATTGTCTTTGGAAGATTTTATCCACTCACTCCCTATCCTACCCACCCACTTCCACCAGCCCCATAGGTCTTTGTTAATAGAGCCATGGGTTCAGTATAGGATTCATGTATTCTGCAGTTGGCAAAGGCTCATCTTTGATTTGCTGTTTTGCTTTCTTTTCATCTTTGAATAAACTAGATGATCACACTCTGTATCTGCCTTCTGGGCAAGCCTACACCAGACAGAAGGTCCCTGGAAGCAGAAACCATGTCTACTTCCACAGAACATACCACTGTGCCTTAGCATTTGTAGAACATATTTTTCTTTTATGTTTCTAAGAGTAAGTTTTTGTGCATAGACATTTTGTCCTTGATGTTACATGTTTGTTGATAAAAAGCAAAAACTCTTCCAACTCATAGCGACCCTACGTAGGGTTTCCAGGACTGTAGATCCTCCAGGAGCCGATCACCTCATCTTTCTCCAATGCACGTAAAGATCTGTAGGTTCAGACGCCCTTTGAAACCTCTCTACTGTGTACTATAGGGCTGCTATGAGCCGGGATCTAGTCAATGGCATTGGGTTTATAGGGGGAAAAAAACTTAAGAAATAATCCCATCCGTAAGGGACTTAAATAAGGACAGGTTTTTAATTAGAAATAGTCGATCTCAAGAACCTGACAAAAATTCTAGAATTCTTTGAAGGGGAGGCAGTAGCTGTACCCTGAGGTTTTTAGTCTTTACATGATTCTAGAGTCATCCCAAATAGCCTAAAAGGCTACTCTAAAGGATTCTGAATCCTTTTGGGAAGTTTAGATCCTATTTCTCAATAAGAATTGAAAGCCCAAAACACATTTTGATCTTTAAGGTCTGCCTAATCCCTGAATCATCTTCTTGCATACCCAAAGTCATTCATTTAAGTCAAACTTGTCAAAATGAGTAGCTCAAAAAAAGTCTAGTAGGCTATCCTGAGTCAGTTGATTTTTAAGTTTTGGAGTCTCATAACTTCATAAATATTTTAGCACCAGCATCCATTCTAAGCTTAGCACTGACTATATTGTCTTCATGTTCCCATGAGACCACTGCCTAGGCAGTTATGATCGTGGGTACAGTGTGGAGAGAGACAGGAGCCTGCAGAATGAGATCTTTCTGAGATGATCAGTGGAGACTTCTGAGATGCTGAGCAGGTTTCAGCAGAGTGTCCCTACTAAGACGGGGTAGGAAGAAAGGCCTGGTGATCTACTTGCAATAATCAGCCATCTTAGGTGTGGCATTGCCACGAATCAGGGACTGACTTGATGGCAGTTGACAACAGCAGCAACAATTAAAATGAGTATGTCTAGACAGGTGTCTGTCTTGTTTGGAAAATAAAGGACAGAAGGGTTCTACTTAACTGAGCCAAAGTTAAGTTCTACTTAACTTTATAAGGAA